CTTTCTCCTACCCCTCGTCCCTCCACCTCGCTATCCCTCTCTATCATCGCCCTCTGATATCGCCTCTACAGCTTGGGTGCAGCGGCTGCAATAGCAGCTTCAACAAGGCCGGAAGAAGCACCGAATAATAATGATGAAACCCCTTCACTTTTCATCATTATGCCGATTTCTCTGAGTATCAAATCGCAACAACATGTTATCCTTGTTTTCAAAAATAGTGAATTGAAAACGAAATTGGAAGCCAAAAATCTGTCCATCCATTTAACTGATAATCAAAAAAGAAAAAAGAAAATGAAGAAAAATAGAAAAAATTTTGATCATCTTTATTCGATCTGCGATAAATTCACAAGTGTGCGCTTGTGCGTTGTTGTGTGTAAAAGCGTGAATGTGCGTGTAGAAAAATATGAAATGTTTACAGTGAATGGTAGTCAAAAGTTGCTTTTTGTTCTCCCATCCACATTTCAGATGGCAGTAGCTGAAAGAAGTGAAAGCTTAAGTAAAAAGGAGAAAGAACAAATGAAAGAAGTAAATAAAAATGTTAAGGAATTAAAAAGATAACCTCATTTTTGGGAATGGAAACAGTGCGAAGTAAAAGGAGGGAATGGGGGAGGGAGGAAGGAGCGGGGGATAGGAGGAGGGGAATGGAGGGTGAAGAAGAAGCAAATAGAAAAATTAAGTAAATAGCGTCTTTTTTTCGTCGGTGAATATCCTCCTGGCTAGCCCCAACTCCAACAACAACAATTTTTTTTTAGGAGGCTCTCGCTATCCTTTTCTTTCTCCCTCTGTGTTTGCTGTTTGCTTCCATCTCCCTTTATCCTATGCTCCCGTACCTCTCTTCCTCAGTTGTCGTCATCGCCTCGGTCTTTGGCTATCTGTTCCTCTCAAACTTTTCAGTTTCCAGTGTATTTTTGACCATCTTTGGTAATGTTCACTTCCCCTTTCTTCCTCTCCGTCTTTATTCCTTTGTTTCAGATTTGCATCAGTTTTACACTTTTTTTAATACCAAAATATAAAAAGAACATTTTTTGCACTGTTTTAGTTGCAGTCAAAAAACTTTTGTTATGTACATCATCGGAATAATGGTAGAGGAGACAACAATGGTTTAAAGTAGGTTGGATAGAGGAAGGAATATAGTGCGAAGTGGGGAAAAAGACCTGAACTGATTGGATAAAAATTTTTTGTTCTGTTTTTGGAACTGTCACCTAAAGGTGTCGCCTCTTTCATAATTCCTGAAAGGCTTCTTCCTTATTTTTAATTTTTTTGAAGCTTTCCTTTGCTTCTTTTTATTCATATTATAGTCGCAGTTTGCTTAATTTTCATTGGAACAGTTGGTATGTGAGATATTTAAGAAAGAAGCAGGAAGACCTAAAATGGTTTAGTTCATTATTTGCTGGTTGCTTGCTGTTGGTTGTTGAGGATGTGTTGTTGTTACTGCTCAAAACGCTTTTTTGCTGCTGGTTACCAAATTGGATACAGCTTTTCAAACGTCTTTCCTCACAATCTCTTCCGCCGGGTTGCTCGATTTGCCTTTCTCCGTTTAATCTCCCTGTCTCAGCACTACCGCTACCGTTATCGCAACCGATAACGTTCCTCTGTTATGGCTATTGACACTGTTGTCATTGCCATTGTCACCACCGTAATCGGACTTTTCTCAACTCTTATGTATTCAGTTTTGTTCAGTTCCTGAAAAGATTGCAGGACATATAGTAAAAAGAAATAGAAATGAAGAAAATAGAGCCAAAGTACAACAGAATCGTTATGTTTTCTGTCTACACTTTACCTTACATCAAAGCGATGAAAATCGACTCCCGAATTTTTTTTTTTAAACATTGCTATGCTTTTCACCAACGAAGTGAACACTAAAAAAATTAGTTCCTCTCACATGACAATACGTCGTCGTCGCCGTTGTCGTTG